AGCGCGCTACCGATTGAGCCACATCCCCAGCCCAGAACACATATTCTTGATGGCTGGATGACATTGGAAAACAGATTGAACTTTCTATTTTTCTATGACAAAGCATTTTTTATCTGCCCTCATTACTGAAGATGTTTCAAATGACAGTAAACTCCCATTTCCCCATTTTGTGAAATCAGCCAAGGCTCTAACTCATTGGACAAAAAAGGGATGTGGTTAATGTATAATTACCACCTGTGGTTTTGCTGAATCTGAATGAAACACTATAAATTAATTTTTGTTCTTTTGTTAAAATAAAATTTTACTGGTAAACTTCTATCAGGTTTACAATTAATGTGCTGACTTGTTGGTTAACACTAAAAAAGGGGGTCCTGTTCATTTCCAGGACTTATTTGACTGATAGGTCTGCTTTCTACTTTTCACAGCTGCTAAACAGAACAATCACTGTGCTTATGGCAGGGATTTTACGCTCAGTAGTTCAGAGGCCCCCAGGCAGGCTACAGGTAAGTGTTTCTTTACAAGAATTTTTTTGCCCCTACTCCTTAAGATTTTTTCTTTTCTAATTACAAAAATATACAGCGATGTTAAAGTCTACAAAAAACTTTTTTTGCAGAGTTTTTTTATATTAATTTTTAATGTTGGGGTTAATTTTGTTTTTTTTATGGTTTATTTCAGTTTTCTCTCTTTGGAATCATAGCTAAGTGTGGTACACTTGAGTCCCAATCACTTGGGAGGCTGGGGCTGGAGGATAAGCTTGGGCCTGGGGATGAGCCTATAGGTTTGAGAACAGCCTATTGAGACCCTGTCTCAAAATCAAATTTAGAACCATAAAACAATTTTTCCTGAGAAAATTCCAATGAAAATCGACTACCATTGATTCCTAAAGTTATAGAGATTTTTTTTCCCTTTAGTTATGAAAAGAGTACATTTTTGCCAGTATAGTGGTACACACATGTAGTTACAGCTACTTGGGAGTCTGAGGCAGGAGAATCACAATCACAATCAAAATTTTAAAAACAAAAAGGGTTGAGGTGCAGCTCAGTGGTAGATAAGTATATGAATAAGTATATAAATAAAGAAAAGGCAAACAAGGAAGAATATATTATTTCAATCATCAAAAATTAGAAAAATATAGAAAAAGCAAGAAGAGAAACAATCTTCCAGAGACCATTAATGGTAGTAGTTTTATGTGCATCTTTCATTCTTTCTTTTAGAGAGTTCAATGGTGTAGCTTAATCTTTACCTGAGGCCCCAACAAGATAGCCCTAGATATACACTGGGTCTCCATATGGATCTATATACAACTAGTTAAAGATGATAACAATGTCAGTTTCTTTATATACATTATCTTAACTGCAGATTAATTCTGTGAAGTCAGTATTATTTCCTTCTTAGTACCAAGGAAATCATCCTCCAAGAGGATAAGTATCTCATTTCTCACAGTTGTAGGTAGCAGAATCAGGATTAGAAGCCCATTGTTTTTTCTACTTAACTTGTCCCCTTTGGCCTATTTTCTAGTTGTTTATGCCATCCTTGCAATAAAGGGAAGGCTGAAAAGGAATGACAGGAGTGACTTGCCAATCCTCAAAGCACTGTCTATGTGAAAGGTTGCCAATTAATCCTTTTTCTTCAGTAGTCTGAGAAAAAGAGGATTGGAGGAATACAGAGTAGAACAAGAGATAGGAGCTAGGAGTGATGGCATTATGAAAACCAGAAAGAAAATGGGAAACTCTTTTTTTGGATTTCTTTTACCTTTTTTCTTTTTGGGGGGGTGGGGTGGGATGGGGCGTATGTGCCGTACTGGGAATTGAACCCAGGGCCTCGCATACTCTAGGCAAGTGCTTTATCACTGAGCTACATCCCAGCCCTTTTAATTA